TTTGTATTTTATACATTTACCGTTTAGTTAATGATATTAATATATGTATTTATTTATTAAAAACTACAAATAAAAGGGTTGCGCCAATTTTGTAATAATAAAGGCCCTAATATTTTTTTCATTTTCTCTTAAGTTTAGTTTATTACCAGTAATAAGTACAACACAAGTATAAAACAAATTGAGAACAAAGTCACTTACTTAATCGAAAAATGGCCAAACTTCAATTTAAAATGAAAACCTTTGAGATAATGTAACACCTTTAAAATTAAATTTCCGAAAAATTTCCTGCATATAATTGCCAGACACCTTGTAAATATGAATAACTATATTTTTCACAAACACATAACAAGCAGGAAAGGAGAAGAAGATAAAAGTCCTAACAAATTACTAAAAACCATTTAACGCGACAATGAAGTACAAAGTAAAGGGCCAGCAAAAACCAATAAACATGCCCTTGAATGAGAGATATGAATGGTCCGTAGTAAGTAAAACTACAAAATAAAAGAGCGGCACACGTTCGACCTGTCTAGACATTTCTCCACGTAGTTTTATAATACGGAGTAAAATTGGGGGCGATCCATTAGAGATAAAATAGTTTTGTTGAAATCCGTGGTCGGACATGGAATTGAATCGTTCTCCCGATGGAAGGCGATTTGCTATCTTTTATACTGAAATGCACGGAATTATTCAATCGATTTTTTAATTCGGAGTTAAAGTACCTACTTCTTAACTTTATTAGATGGCAAAATAAAGAATAATGATTGATTTTATCTCAATTTATTTATAGTACGAGAAACCTATTCACGCAATAGATTTCTTAAAAATTCAGTACTGTAAATCCGACAAGTTGTTATTAAAATTTTATTTTGAATTGTAGGTGAAATTGGATCGTATATACAGTATGTATACAGGGTGATTCACAATTTATCCAAACAAAATTTGGGAATAGATGCGGCATGAGAAATAGTCAATATTGTAAAGAAAAATGTTTGTAAAATCCTTATAGTTTCTGAGAAAAAGATTATTGAAGTTATAGCACATTAAACCACTACATACATACAACTGTAGTCTCTAGCCTCATTCACAATTCGCGTGGAGAGCCATGTGACTCTTAATACTGAAATCCGTCGTTGCGGTAGTTTTTACCTGTTATCTGTGGTATTTACATCAGTTTTTTAGTAGTTAGTGTCAAAAATGGCTTGCGTGTATAGCAACTCAGAGTTGATGGATATCGTTTTAATTTATGGTGAAGCAAGACAACATTTGTATTATGGTGAAGTATTTGTGTTATGGTGAAGCAAGACATCATTTGTGTTAGTTCGTAGAAAGTGAGTAAGACGGACCCAAATGTGTTTACACGTGAGTGGATAAAATTTTGAACAATTGCTGTTGCAGCATCGGGTATGTCAAATGATTTTATTATTTAAAAACACAAATTAATTTTATTAATAATTAATAAAGGCAAAAGCATTTGAATTTGCCGATATAAAATAGGTGCGATAAAATTCTATTTACATATTTCTTTCCTTGCGAAAGTTTTTGTCCGTTTTTATCACGCCGCCATAGCGGTCGCATTGTGCGAGGTCAGGTTTTACAGTGGACCAGTTTCCAGTGCCGTGCAGAAGTGTATTTTTAAATCAATTTCGAACTGACCTTTTTGATTTTTTGTTTACAAAATTGTATTTGTAAGGGTCCCCTGTACCTACATCCATAATTTTTTTTGGATAAGTTCTGAATCACCCTGTATGTATGTAGGTAGGGAGTTGAAAAGAGCTTAGACTTTTTTGTGTTTTACTATATAATAAACATTTTACGCAAAAATTTGACATTTTGGGGAACAATTATTCTGTTTGGTTAAAAAATAATCTGCAACGTATTTTTATTTCTGAATAATTAAGGCAGTCTTGTTACAAAAATAAATATATATTATGTGTAGGTATAAAGTAACTTTTTCATACAACTAGATATATTAAAAAAATTGATTTGTTCAATTTCTCCATTATGTGTCAGTAATGTGTCTTCATTCTGTAAGGGATCAGAAAAAAATATTTAGAGTTTTTTCAGAAGTAAAATTTAAACCATAAGTAATATTTTTATATAAAAATATTTTTAAATAAAAAAAATAAATAAAGTCTTAAACGCCTTTTATTTTAATTACTAGTTTCATAACTTAAAATTAGGTAAAACCATGCAAAAAAGATATTTCAATATAAATATATCAAGATGCCTCAGATCATCGTAATTGTGGGAGCATGTCAATAGTTTTTTTATTAAACACTTTGCAGCTTGAAGATATGACAAAAATTTTGTCATTGTGGTGAAATAAAGGATGTTTAAAAGAGAAATATATCTGTTATTTTTTTATATAGTAATATTTATATTAATTTCCCAAATTTGAGAGCAATGCTCTTTAATTTTACAATTCAATGATTTATTACATCAAAAAATATTAAAGTAGACCATTTCTCTTCAAGCTTGGTACATGGGATAACTTTTAATATTTTTTTACATCTTATATGAAAAAGAGGTCTACACGGAAAAGATACTTTTTACTGTCGTCAACACTTACTTAATTTTTCAAAATAAAAGTATGTGCCAAATAATTTTTTTCCTTCTCAAAATTGCAAAATTTCAGCTTAAAACTGTTTTGTCATTTACACCCATGACAACCATGATATGTGGACACACTATATATGTTAAATCTTGGAAACGGATAGGTGTTTTTATGTGTTTTTTAACCGATAAATTGTTGTTTTAAAAACAAAATCAACTACTATGTTTCTATCCATGATATTGTAGACACCCTGTATATGTTGGCCTACTTAAAACATTTTTCTACATTTGAACAAAAACATAATTTTTTAAAGATTTTTTAATCTTGAGTCTGTTACGATTTATTTATGTGCCAATTTTTGCAAAACTGTGTTGTGTAAATATTTATTTTATCCTGCGATTTTTTATAACACCCAATTATTAAAGGTTAATTGCTTTAAAAAAATTGTAAATTGTAGGTACACGCAAAAAATTTATTAATTCAGAAAAAATAAATGAATAAAAAATAAAATAAATCTAAATGTAATAAAAGGAAAGGAAATAGATCTATACAGAAATTGGTAGGTACTGGGGCATATTGAAAAATTAGTTCGATTTTTTTTCCTTTTACTGACATTATATATTACTAGCAGGCTAGTAAATCTAGAACATACAAGAAGGTTAGATTAGGTAGAGATCTAACTATCCTCAGTAAACATGCTACTTTACTAGAAATGAATGACGAGATTACAACGTTATAATTTGCACTTCATATTAAAATTAATACTTTTAACTCGATTGTCCCAAATATTTTTTATTATAAAATCCAGTTATGTTGTTTGATATCCCTATACCAGAAATAAGTACATTTTAACCATTCATTTAACTTATCGAAAGCATAAAATTTAGTCTAATAATTTTTTTCGAAAGACTTGGTTTTATATTTTAAATTTAATATTTAGGAAAACAAAAAATTTTAAGTTTTGAATCACTGCATACGTTACTTAAGCAGTTTCAGTCCATGGCAGCTTCTTAGCGTTATTTTAATTCATACAAAGTACCGGACAATGATCTTTTCGAAAAAATGTATTAGACAAAGCTGCTTTTGATGATTTAAATACGTGATGAAAATTGTGGCACTTACTTCTAGAAAACACTGTATACAGCTTGGTTATTCGTTCTTTTGGAGTTTTATACGTTGTTTTGACAATGGAATGCGATGCAATGTGTCTAGAAATTATCCAAATGTAGAAAGCACCTACCGTATTTAATTTTGTGAAGCTATATTAAAACATTTAAAACATTTTTTTCAAGAACTTTCCAATTCAAAGTTTATATAAACTTTTTGCTGATTTCCTCCCTTAAAGTTTAACCACTTTCCTGTGGGACATCCTGTATAATAGGTAAATGCTTGGAAGGACCTAAAAAGCATTTATTGGCTAAAAAATTGATTAAAACTTTTCTAGTTGAACAATAAAAACATTTTAAAATATTATAGTTTTTTTTCAACAATTTAATATTTGATATATACGTATATGTATACCATCATAGAAGATAAAACTTTCTTTGTGCGAGTTTTTGCGATATTTTTTCTTTCAGGAAAAATTGTGTCATATGTGGACAACTAATCGTTTTTGTCCGCCAGCAAAGTGATTTCACACGAGGATTTAATTTTATGTAAATTGCCCTCTGTTATTAGACAAATTAGAGGGTAGAATGCAACTGGTGGTTAATTATAAAACCTGTACATCTCTTTTCATAGATGGGAGATCCTGCGGAAATTAAAAGCAGACAGATAAATACTCAGAAATTTATTTAATTTGGTACAAAAATATTCGATAATTTATACAACAATGTACAAACAACATCATGGTAATTTTTTCAGAGTTCGCTACAGGGTGAAATAAAAATATCAGTTATATACCTATCGTTTAAGTACAATAACCCTGTAAGAACGAGAGATCATGTCGTTTAGGAAAATATAAATAATACACCTTTGCAAATATTGCAAACGAAAATAAATAGGATAAAAAACTTTGGCAAACCACACTGAGAGATCTTGAAATAGGAAATGTATTTAACCTATACTCGTATATGTAGCAGCTTATAAATATACATGGTAGGTACACGTTTGAGCATGAAAAAATGCAAAGTATTTGGCACTATGTATATTCAAATTCATCCAGAATAGTAATACTAGATGTCGAATAGTTATATACCTAAAATTTCGTATCACTAACAAGTATGTACACAATATCTATCCTATAATACACCTTGGGTAACAAAGGAACCGCGGGCAGATATCCTTTCTTTTTAGACTATAATCATAATTTAACTAGGTCAGTATGCCCGTAGAAAACTTTGTACATAAACTACATAAATGCAATGTAACACCTTAAACTAAAACATTTGGTATCGTGCTAAACAGCCTTCGTCAAATTATCCACCTAATTAGAACTAATTCAATCTCACTTTCTTTTCACTTTGGTTTTGTTCTGCAGATCGCCGTTTTTTCGCTCGGCCCCCGTTTTCACGTTATTCAGCAGAGTCTTGAACTGCATGATCTGCATGGCCGTAACGGAAGGATCACTGCAGGCCTCCAACCACTTCAGGAATTTTTCGCCGTGTTCTAAGGCCTCCCTTTGGCTTAAGATTTCCTCGTCCTCTTTGCTGTCCTTCTTATTCACGGCGACGTTGTTGTTATTATTGAACAAAAGGTTGTCTAGAACAGATCTCGCCTTGTTGTTATTTATGTTGTTGTTGATGGTTTTGTTATTTGGGGACTTTTCTTCGTTAACCAAAACATTCTCTACGTTTTGGTGGTCCGATGCTGAAGTGTTGATTTTCTCGTCTTTTTGAGGCGCTTCCTTGGTGAGTTGCTGGTACAGAATGGGCTTATCTGCTGCGGGAAACTGTTGGGCTTGTTGGCCATAGGCGATTTGTTTATACCATTTCCAAAACCACGAGCTCTGGTCTGGAGTAACGCCGTTTAAACCGTTCAGAGCTGCGTTATTGCTTATAGACGTTGGTATCGTCGAGGGCGTCGTGATGGACGTCCCGGTGCCGTTAGAATGCGGCATATTGGGTAACTGGTTCTGGTTCAAACCTAGTTTGGTCTGTTGGTTTTTCAGCCAATACCAAATGGACTCGTTCACAGATTGTTGCTCCTTTGGTAAATGCTTGTTCTTCTCCTGGTCCACGATGGCGAGTAAGCCGGCCGTTGAAGTCACAGCATGCGTACTGGTGTCTGCGGGGGCGGTGATTTTACTTTTACCGACCTGTTGAATTTTCTGTTGTTGCTGTTGTAACAAAAGGGTATTCCAATGGGCCAGCAGGTTGATGTTTGCACTTAAATCGGCCAAGTTCGAGGTATTATGAAGATTAGATAGGAACATCTCGGGTCTGTTGAGGCCTAATTCTACGCTCATACGCGCAAGTTCGGCTCTGTTTCTTTCCCTCTCCGTCAAGTGGTCAGACGTCGATTTAGGCGTCTCAGTTTTTGTGTTCAGATTTAATGGAGCCTTACTTGGATCTGGCTCATTTTTGGTACACTCTGGAACCCCGTAGCGGGTTTCGGAATTAGGAGAGAAGGTACCACTGTTGCTTTTTAAACTCAAATTGAACGGCTGCATCGAGGGATCATCCAACCTAGCTTTTTTACTTTGAGATTCTAGCGATTCGTCTGTGTCGGGACTAGACTGTCTGGAAAGATACGAGATTTTGTCCTCATTTTTACACCATCCCCTAAGGGTGGACTCCGGCACTCCGATATCCCTGGCGACGGAGGCTTTGCTCTCCCCATCGTGCACACGACGAATTGCATCCAATTTCTCGTGAGCCGTGAGCGACCGCATCGGCCGTTTTCCCGCTCTAGCAGACATTTACACCGCACTGTATATCACGTCCGACTGAAAGTCTCTATCTTATTGCTGCCTTTAATATCACACACAGCACGTGGTAATGTTTATATGCAATGTAGCCGGTAGCCAATGAAAGCCGCTGGCAGAGTGCGCAGTTCGAAAAAGTCAGAATAACCGTTGTAAAAACTTACACAGAAACAAAACTTGCGGCGAAGTTTTGACGGATGCACTCGAGATAACGAGCCGGTGGCACACAGAGTTCTACAAACTTTCGAACGCAAGCGCCGGCTGCTGCACTACTTATGAATTTTTCTGTCGCGTCTCCGACACACCGCTGCCTTCACTTAGTCGAAAAGGGACCGCACAGGGCGAACGGCTAGTGGCGAATAGTTTCTTGCGACTCTAAACCGGTGGTCAGTTTCCTTTGTCCAGTCGATCAATACAAGCAACGGACGAGCACGGACTGAGCGCAGGGCAGGCAAGCAGCAGGGTGGTAGGTTCGCGGGTCCCCGCGTGATGGCTTGACGTGACACCCTCCCACCCCCCACCCCCTTAGGGCCGATTCGGGGAGACCTCTCTTGCGCGAAGACGCATTCACGCAGCCGAAGAGTCAGGCGAGCACGAGAATCGCGTCGTACCGGTTTGCCATCACGTGCTTGAACAGCTGATGGCTGATGCAGGCCCTCCGGTACGTCACATGGATTGCGAAAACAACCCCCCCGGCCCCCTCCCGACAGCCACATCATAAGCAGCCACCGGCGTCACTACAGAAAACGCTCGCCGAACTCGAGTTGTAAACATATCTATAGGGCGGAACAAAAAAAATTCGCGTGCGATCTAAATAGGTATCAATTACACGTCGAGTAAAGGAAATTATTGGTATATACTGTTTTAAACATTGGGTTATTACACATCATATACGTAATAGCTATATTATTCCAGGAACCTAGAGATACCATTTCAAGTATGTATTTAAACAAACCAAGAAGAAAGAATTCTTGGAAAACGGAATGACATGCAAACTCTATTAATGACGTCACTTTGGCCAGTAACTTGATAACTGGATTCCCTTAAACCCCACATTAAATCCTTACCTAACGGTATCGATTTTTTTTGCTTTTAGTTTCCTTACAATACAACGCTACTGTATTTACAAAAATTTATTTAAAACTGATTTTCTACAAAACAATTAGGTAGGTCATTCGTAAACGCACGTAACTAGAGAACAAATTTTCAGTGTTCGTTCTGTTTATATGATAGGAAAATGAATATGGTAGCACTTAACAAAAAAAATTGCCGTCATAAAATCTTATATAAATGATTTTAAAAATTTAAGGGTACCTATCATATACAAAAGAGAAAATTACTTTAGAAAACATTGCATTTTCTAAAACTCTCTAGATAGACCTAATAACTTTTTGCATTGTTTCCGAGAACCTTAAAAAACAGTTAAGTATGTAGTTCATCTTCTTGCAATGGTATTTAGGTGTATCTAAAAATTAAGAAAGCATAACATCTGAATTTTGGCATTTGCGTTATCTGAATTAAATTTTTAATTTATTATAGTTTTCTATTTCATTACATGTCTAATTTGAAAAATTTGCTGTCTTAATCATATTAAAAACATCGCAGAAAATGAAGGTTATTTTCTGGGCAAAATCTCTGTATTGTGATTTTTTTTCAATTACCTAAGTTACCATTCTTGTATCTCATCTTCTCATCTTGTGTCTCATGTGAACGAGTGTTTTTAAAAATTTACAAAATTTAATAATTTACAGAAAGTGAATCCCTGTTCCTTTAGTGAACCCCTGTTTATCTACTAATAAAATCTATACATTTTTTTTACATTTTAGTCTCTCGGTACCACTCCAAAATTGTTGAAAACAAAATTAACTGTAATTATCAAGTTTTAGCTGAATTCAGAGATTTACGTACACAAGATAAATAAAGGTATTTTTTCCACAAATCTGATAAGTAACAATATTGCATCAATTTGTAATATAATTTTTTTTGCTGTGCAGATCTGTATTTTGTAAAACTTTTATGAAATCCTCTAAAAGATGTTTTTAGAGACCTCTGGGATTAGGTAGTGCAGACAGGCGATAATAAAAAAAATTAATATCCAAAAATTTTAATAATTTCTGGTTTAAATATTTTTATCTAGAATTCTGAGAAAAGAAAATTACTCAACTTTGCGTTTTAGGTTCAAAACATTTTCAGTGAACGCTACTAACAAAAAAGTAAACTTTTCTTGCTCTCTCTTTCAACACAGCTAGGTATTTGATAGAGACTTAAGTTGTAACTAATGAAGAAGGTTAGTAAATGTAAACAAGGATGTAGTTTGTATAAATTTTTTTATTCTATAAAATGTTTTTTTTTTATATTAATCCTACTATTTAATTTTAATTAAACTCGGGCAATCAACAGCACAACTATAAACTGTAAGTCCAAAACAATAATTAACATAACAAGTTGTGTCCCTTGTTATTTCAATTTCTAATGGTTTAATGGTTACACCGTATTTAAAATGATATTTAGACAAAATTCAGTTTTTAAAGTTAGCTATTTAAGGCTGACTTAACTGTGCGATAAGATGATTTCAAAATTCAAAATTAAATTGAAAATAATTTTTAATAAGTGAAACATACCATTTTTAGGAATTAAGTATATTAATTTAACTCAGTGGCGTTGACATTCTTGGGTGTTTAGGGACTATGCTTCTCAGTATCTCCGCCACTGGTTGAACATTTTTTATACCAATTCAGTTAATTCTCATTTTTAATTAGTGACATTAACTCATGTTAAACATCTTTAGAGATATTAGAAAGATTGTGATAACTTTAATGCCCTTGCCTTAAAAGCCATAGTAGCTTTAGATACTTGAGCATTTTGATCTAAAATACATAACTCAATAAACAACTTCCTGAAGACATGATATAGTATAGACTTAAAAAACATGTAATGAAAGTGTGAAATTCAAATCAGATTGTTTATTCTCATTAAAGGAAGTAATTAAATTTATTTTATCCACAATCACCTTATAGTTGGGCTTTTATCCACGCATATTAACAATCTAAACTAAAGTGATACTTTATCCACTAGTGGAATAAAGTAACTTTATTTCACTAGTGGGATAATGAAAAAATAATAAACCTATAATAAATCAAATTTAATTTATTTACTTATTAACATTAATATTTACATTTATAGTAATACTTAACTTCCTTTCCGTTAATAACAACCCTTGTAGCATTGATGCCATCATTTTCGGAAAGCATAACATCTGCCGAAGTTTGTGAAGAATTTGCACAAGTTACGGATGTCTCTTCTTGCAAGGAACAGTTATATTTTCCTTGGATTTTCCTTACAATATCAAGATAGATATAGACTCCTCAACATAACTCTCTTCCATCCACCATGCCATTTGATGGTTGGAAGATCAGCAGTCAGCACCTTTATTGGCCAATAAAGTTGTTGAAGTGCGCCTCATACAATGGCCAATATACAGTGTAGGAAAGTACCGATGGTCTATCAGAAGTTACGTGAGAGCGATAAAGTAAGCCATAGAAATCCATGTGATGGACAAGGATGGTTATAATGAAGGCGTCTAATAGTCAACGCCCATTTCGCCCTTCCACAAGTAAGAAGTGGATCTTATTTGTGGAAGGGCGAAACGGGCGGTAACTATGAGAGGCCTTCATTATAGCCATCCTTCTCTATCGCATGGATTTCTATGGCTTACTTTATCGCTCTCACGTAACTTCAGATAGACTATCGGTACTTTCCTACTCTGTATGTATGTTTCTCGATTTGCGATATTCAGGAATGAAGCAACTATTAAGGGTACTTTTGCCAATGTGTTGATTCCAACAGGCTGAGAAGTACATTTTTTATTGATGTATCTTAAAAATAATATTAGACTAGGCGGTATCTGTTTTGGTTTGGGTGAATTTGTATATCCACGGAGACTTTTGGCTTTTTGGCTTTCAAAAAACGTGGGCTTAACTTTTGGCGGCACAATATGTTAAAAAAATTCTAAAAATGTCATAATATTTTTCTTCCTATTTAATTATGTATCTTTTCAAGAGTTGATTTTAGACGAAAATGGAAGAGGAAAAAAATTTTTGCAATTAAATTTTTTACAAAACAAGTCTAGTTACAAATCGAATGAATCATGATTATTATGGTAAAAATCGAAAAAATCGCAAAAATGGAGTTAAAAACGATACTTTTTAGGTAATTTTTTGGGGTATTTAAATTGGGTACAGGACCTTTATACTTGACTCAAAAAAACTTCATGTTATGTAGAATTATCACACCAAATTTCATCAAAATCGGTTCGATAGATTTTGCATAATAATTTTGCTATTCAGATTTTGAAAAAAAATGCAAATTTTCAAATTTTTGCACAGCAAAAACCAACGCCCTTAGATACTTGAAAATTTAATCACATATAGAAGGGCTCTCAAGCTTTCAAACTTTTTTTGAAAAATCCGAATCTGTCAATTAGGAGATCTCTGGCGCTTGTTTAAACATTGGTCGAATTTTTGTACTTATAAACAATTAGAACTTTGTGAATATTCAGTCAAATCAAATTTTTTAAAGCAGGTTTTAAAAGTTCTTGGAAAGACGCTTCTTTAAAAAAAAAACAGAACGATTGATGAATTAGTTATGTAGTCATAGCCGTCATTTACACTAAATGTACTGGGACATCCGGGCTAATTTTTCGAAAAATACCTTTGGTATTCCGAGTACTTACCAGGTCTAAGATTACAATACTTTTTTTCATTGGCAACCTACTTTAAAACGTGATTAAAGTTATTTATGCAGGCGAGAAATTCAATAAAATCGTACGGGTGGTGGTGGTGGGGGAAGCAGAGAGCGCGGCCGCTTCGGCCTGCTCGAAATTGAATCGGCTATAACTACCAAGGGCCTTCGTTTTTGCTGTGCAAAAATGTGAAAATTTGCAATTTTTTTTCAAAATCTGGATTGCAAAATTATTATGCAAAATCTATCGAACC